ACACAAGACAAGACACAAATCCAGTCACAAGACCAGACACAAGACCAAACACAAGACAAGACACAAATCCAGTCACAAGACCAGTCACAAGACCAGACGCAAGACCAGACACAAGACCAGACACAAGATCAGACACAAATCCTGTCACAAGACCAGTCACAAGACCTGACAGGACCAGACACAAGACCAGACACAAGATCAGACACAAGACCAGGCACAAGACCATGCACAAGGCCAGACACGAATCCAGTCACAAGACAAGTCACAAGACCAAACACAAGACCAGACACAAGACCATGCACAAGACCAGACACAAGACCATGCACAAGACCAGACACAAATCCAGTCACAAGACCAATCACAAGACTAAACACAAGACCAGACACAAGACCAAACACAAGGCCAGACACAAGATTACGCACAAGACCAGACACAAATCCAGTCACAAGACCAATCACAAGACTAAACACAAGACCAGACACAAGACCAGACACAAGGCCAGACATAAGACCACGCACAAGACCAGTTACAAGACCAGTCACAAGTAACAGTGTTACAACGACAAAGGAATGGTTTTGTTGCAGTTCATTTGAATAATTCGTGAAACGAATTCAGACTGGATGTCTCTTCTTAGTATTATACTGGTCTTGTGAAGGCCTTACGTAGTCTGGACTGTAACACTGTCTATAACTTCATGCTCAATCAACCTTTCCCCACGTGAACACTCACATACCCTCTTTTTCCCAAAATCAAAATCTCTGATTTATTGCAGGGTCTTGCTGGAAGCAGTGCCATTGTCACGGCAACGCTGAAATGCCTCATGCACTTTTTTGATCTCACAAACAGTGTGAGTACGAGAATGCTGTAATCTTCTTGAAATGTTCCATGTTGTACACTAGGAAAATAGGAAAGCTGTAGATTAATTTACTTTAGAAGTTTATATCATTTCAAGAGCAACACTGTTATAGTATGCTGTGTATCACTACACCACAGTATAAAAGCATATCATTATTTGCAAGACTTAGGAATTGATAAAGTCTGCAGATCAGGGTAGTTTATCAAAAAATCTACCTTCATTGATAGCAAAGAGGTGTTGATAGCATATTTCTATTTGTTGATAGCATATTTCTATTTGTTGATAGCATATTTCTATTTGTTGATAGCATATTTCTATTTGTGAGATGCGCCATCTGAGAATTCCACCCTGATCATCTTTGTTAGGTTTAGATATAGAGTACCAAAGTGTGACGTCATTTAGAACCAGTAAATGCCGTACAGATGAATGGAGCATGCCCTTGAGGTGGCTGACGTGCTGGTTCTTGCGCTGGTTCTTTGACACACATAACTATGCATGTGACGGATTCACTTCAGTGCTCTATAGAAAGCATTCTTACTGCAACCAAATTTGACGTAAATCCAAACCTTGAAACTGCCAGGGTTTTGATTGACACGTAGGCTAACCTAATGTTTTAATATTTGAAAATTTGTTGTTCTTTATTAAATTACAGTGCATGCTGCGAAATTCTGTCTCTGGCAATATTTTGCGTCAGTGATACAAACCCAGAGAAAAGTGTATCTTTACCTTCCATTCCCATTATGTTTTCCCAGGATATACCCCTGGCCCTGCGGCCACAGTTTATCCTCAACGTTGAGGTCGATGAACTTTTTATCAATGCCGGACTCCAGGACAGAGTCATACAGGTATGCCATGGAGAGACTTGCGGGGAAAACCCTCGTGTGTTTAACCTCAGAATTTGTACAAATAATTCAGAGTTGAAAGTTCACAAGCAAACTGCATGTGGGCAAAGGGATTATTTGAGATGGTTCACAAAACAAAAATTAATGAACTCTGAATTTTATCCAGACCTCATGAGATCTTATCACCACCTCCAGAAAGGTCTCTAAAAATGTGTAGTTTCCCTCACAGGCCAAGAGGTCACGGGTGCATACAAGTCTCTTCCCCAACTATAAAGGTTCCTCCCCTGACGTAATCTATTTGGAAGCTTTGGAAAATAAATAAAATAACAGAATTAATCAGGAAAACATAAACTAGCACCTGGACCGCTAAAGATATTCAACCCCCTCCATTGCCTGGCTTTGGCCATAATCTGAGATATACTGCGTAATTTCATGAATTTTGTTTCACCTATCCCAAACGGTCAAAGCCAGTCGATATCCAGGTCTTTGGCTCAAGGAAAGTAATCTTTTGTTTTGTTTTGTTATCCAAAAGGACTGTCTTAATTTATCACCAGTAAAAGAATTTCTCATCAGTCCCCTGAAATTGGGCAGGTTCTTCCATTTCCTAAATTTTGGTGCCTTCCTTTCCCAGAAAAAAAATCAATCAATGAAATTGTCAACTTGTCTCCAGGGGGCATGTAGCCACCCTGCCTTCCCTCTAGATATGCCAACGTGTGCCAACAATTCTCAATTCTTTTGGAGCCAGGTCTATGAGGGTCTGGTCTACATGGATTTCTCGCAGGAGGTCATGAGGTCAAAAGGTCATGGCGACTACCAGCAGATGGATGTCAGCCTGGTTCCTCCCCTCTGGTTGGCCTACATCCGTAACCCTAGCGACTCCGGCAAGATCCATAGCAACATCAGACTACGATTTGACAGTGGCAAGTTTGATGAGTCCTGCTATCTACTTTTGCAGAAAAGCAGTACCTAAACTGTTGTAAATATGTCTGCCGGCTACAGTGGCCCAGTGTGGAGATCGAAAAACATTGGAGGGCCTGATGTTTCATTCCTAGCAGATTCTTTCTTAAGGGCAAATTTTTAAAACAGTTTTGTAAAACTTTTGCCAATTTATTTGGAGGGGGGTGAGCGAAGTAGAACTGTTTGCCTTATGTTCCGCCATCTTTATATGAGTTCTACCAATAGTTGGATCAGTTGCTGAGGTGAGTTGGGTCGGTATATTTCCTGTGAGTTGAGTTAGGTGAGTTGTGAATACTCCGCATTCTTTATTGTTAGTTGTAAGTATTGAGTGATGCGACATTCTTCATTATCAG